GTACTCTTCGAGACGACGCATTATCGCCCTTCTCTAAATCCTAATCGAAATTGATAGCGTGTATAATTCTATGTACATCGATAACACCGGGCGACGGTTGACCCGCGACTTCGAGAATGGCTAGGGCACGACGCTAGCTTAAATTTAAGGAATGCCCGGAACAGACGTTGCGAACTCGCCATTCTCGGCCCCAGTCCGACGAGTCAACCATTCTAACCGTCGACGAACTGATCATCGAAAACCGAAAGACAGAAAACCTATTTCCAAAGTCGAAAGGAATTGAACGTAACCCCGTAAAGTCCAAGAACGAGCCGCTACTTACCGTGTCGGAAACTTAACGGCCGACTAAAAGACGGAAACAAAAGTGGATAAATAGAAAAATAAGATACCAAGTAAAATCCTAACATCTACGAGATAGAGAGAGAAACAAAAAAAAACGAAAATCGCCAAAGGCGGAAGTCCTTGCGGCGACGAGATCGTCCTCGAAGGATGCGTCCCGACCCTGGTTCGGTCGAAATTACGTAACGCGACGAATGAACTAAACAATCTACGAGCATATCATCCAGGACGTGCGCACCGGGTCGTTAGCCACCAAAAATTTGGAGAAGTTCCTCGCCACATGTATAAAAGTGAAAATCTCTACCCGGCTTCGAAACACGTCGTCGTTCTCGCGCGACTCGTCAAAGTAATCACGTAGGCGCCGAGAACTCGTAAAATCGGCCTTGCACCGAAACACCTGAAGTCCCTCCGCGGCCGAGGAAGCGACCGGGTACCGCGAGAACAAAGGAAGTCAAAGAAATAAATCGGGTTCGCCCATCAATAAGGCGGGGAAAAGGGGGTTTGAGAAATAAAATATATTTATAAAAACAAAATATGAAACGCATATAAAATAATACAGGTCGTAATATCATAGTTCATCTTCCTAGTCCATCGTAACGGCCGTCGTGCAGGAACAGAAACCACGTGTATCGTATTTAAATATTAGTCTCGCCGCAGGGTGTGCAGAGCAAAACGCGCCCCTCCCGACGCCCCGTGTATGGCACGCGCGCATCGCGCCGAGAGAAAGAGAAGGCGCTCGTAGCGAGCCGGCGCCCTCGCCGCGGTAAGTCCGAGTGAGCGAGTCGCGGTCGCGGGAATTAACTAGAAGCGAGTCTTGGCACATCCGCCGAGCGGCCCGAGGTGCGCGCGCACGCGGGCCCGCGGACCGAACTTGCCGCGGTCCGCCACGTCGGGTGGCCGGCGCGCGACTGGCCGGCGGCGACGGGGCGCGGCCCGCGATTGGCCGAGCCGCCGCGGCCGCGAGCCAATCAGCGAGCCGGACCGAGTTAGCGCGGCGAGCGCGGCGATTACGAATCGGAGAGGAAAGGAGGACGCGTCGTCGGGGGAACCGGCGAGCGGAACTCGGGCGCCAGTCGTACGCACTAGTGATATGAGCAGAGAATATGTATCGATGAGTCTCCTCTCTTCCGTCCCAATCGGATCCCCCTCCCTCTCCCGATCCCCCTATCACGGGACGCTCCTATATCCTTAACCCCTTACGAGAACGGAACGAAAGTCTGAGTAGCACACAGTAATACTGCTTGATATGTCTCTAACGTACGTCGCATCTATTTATATTAAATTTATATCGTAATACGCCTATCAACGCTTATTACGCTCTCCTAGAGGCGGGCGCGGGAAGGAACTGAATTCGTCACCACGTGGGGGGGAGAAGAACGAGAACGAGGAGGCGAGAGGCATTCCTTATCTTACAGACCGCGGATATCATCCAGAGACTTTCCCCGCCGCGTTTGAATTTCCCGCGGAATACGCCCGCGGCTCCGTCCGCAGGGAATTACTCCCGCGTGGAAACATTTACCCCTCCCCGAGACGAACGTTCACGGGCGAATTTCACTCGAGGAGGGAAACAAAAACCACCGGAAAGAGACTCTCGCGCGCGAGCTGCATGCAAATACGTACATTTATACGCGTCGCTTGTACAACGTATGTAGAATAACCGCGAGCGACGCCGCTTGATATTTTCCATACACGCGTCACATAGCGCCGCGTATAAATAGACACGTTCGCTTCGCTACGTACAGTCCTTGCGCGAGAATCTTCCTGGATTTCCAGCTCCCCCCTTCCTCCCCCCCTCTCTTCGACGTTGCGAAATCACAAGACGAGCGCGAGCGAGAGAAAAAAAAAGGTAGAATGTCACCCGAAGCGCGCGATCGACTCTTCGCCGCGACGTCCGCCATCTTGGATCCCGCGAATGGATCAAGCGATCGCGCGCGCCCGCGCGAAATTCAAAACCTCTCTTTCGCCCGTAAATTGTGAAAAATCTATCTTTCTCGAGAAAAAAAGAAATGTCTCCGTCGAACGCCCGTCCGCCCTCCCTCTCTAACTCTCGATCTCCCTCTCTCTCTCATGTAATTAATAATTATTGCATTGGTTTCTCTCCCTCATTTCTCCTTCCCCTCTCGTTTCGCTCATTTAAAATCCTTCGATAATTATTCCTGAACTCTGAGGTAGTCTGTTCTGGGATTTTTCTCCTGTTTCTCTTTTTTTGTTTGTTTGTTTGTTTGTTCATTGTTGCTTTGTTTCGTTTAGCGTGTGCGAGTATGTGTGTATGTGAGAGTATGTTCTTCGTAAGCTTGTTCGTTAGCCTTTCTTCATCATCGTTTACGTAGTAAAATGGCAAGAGCTAATTCGTCATCGCTTCTTTAATAACTAAAAGAGAACCTCCTTTCTTATTTACAAGGAAAAAAAAAGAAAAAGAAAAAAAAATGTAAAAGAAGTCGACGCAGACCTCGTCCCGATGAGATCGACCACGGCGAGAAACGAGCTGCGTCTCTTACGTACTAACTACATACATATACATTCACGAGCGCGCGCGCGCACGCACGCACACACGCGCGGACACTAAATTAAGAGCCGTCGAGGGACGAAAAACGCCCGCAAGAACAACGAATCCCTTCGGGAACAACAATGGGAGCGTAGGCACCGTACAACGAGTGGCACGTCCATTTCCGACCGTATATATAAAAAGAGACAAAAAAAAAGAAATAAAATCGATCGGTCCTGCGATTTGCACAATTTCGGGTTCGCCAATGAATCCCGATCGCAGTATTAGTGATAAAAGGAAAAATGGCGCTCGTCGAATATCTACAACTCTTTGGGACGTTAAACAATCGAGCAAAGGATAGAGCCTTAACCTGATAATTAAGGCGTGAGGATTCATGATTTTTAAATATATTACATAAAATCGTGACGTCTCCGTGGTCAGGGGTTAGAAAGTGCGCTAGATGGACTTTTCCCGTGGTATAAAACTGCAACGACGACGCAAATTGGGCCTGGGCGAGAAATTGGCAAGGGACTGGATAAAAGAGGAGACGAGGGATAATCAACAGTCCTCCGATACAATCCCGAAGACCCAACGTCTCGCAATATTTGACAACCTTCATGCGTTCCTCAATTCCCACCTTGTTTACCGTCGCCGGGTTCAAGCGGACCCACCGTGACGAAATGTGATTGTATCGGTACAATCTTACATTTGTATGCATGATTAATATACTTAGGGATGTAAAAACGCAACGAGGAGCTACGAAAGAAATTGACAAAAAACAAAGGAAATCGACTCGGGTCTAAATGGACCCGAAGAAGGCATGAAGGTTAACTTAGTAATCTGTTGTCTGTCTCAGAAGGGACATTTCAAGAGTTGTTTAAACTCACGTCCAACATTTATCAGGCTCGCCAGGACACTTCGACTGTACCACGCGTTGTACACGTCCGGATCCGAGGACGTATACAAAGTTGTCTGGGAATTTCTTGCCAATTTTGTGCCGTTTAAAATTCGACACTTTCCCGTTAAAAATGAACAGGCTTTTACCTTTACAACCACGAAACGTACCATTTCAAGGCCCAGACGTCGCTCTACACTCTGGCCACGATAACAGAGCGTTTAAACAATTCATTTACGGGTTATCTACCCTATTTAATTCGAGCTAGAAAAAGGATCTAACTCGGGCGATTTTAAATGGCCTTTTTACAATTTCAAATTTTTACATTTAACCCAAGAACCGCTAGCGCACCCTGTAATCGTAGTTGCAAAACTTCCGAGAGGAAGACAAGAACAGCATTCTAGTCGACCCACGACTATTGAAGCAATAGGAAAAAAAAAAAAAGAAGAAAAATGTAACATCGAATCCCCAATTATTGCTATGAAAATGTAGAACTTTAATCGGCGCCTCGGAACGGTACGTCCGAATGGAACGTAAAGGGGGAAAACAACATTAAATGGTAAAGCCGAATAACATTCTGGAGGAGTTAGAAACACCGCGCCGAGGAGCAACGTCTCGGATATCCGACGAACAACTGATCCAAGAATCGTCGAGCAATCAATGAAAACAACGCGGCCGAGGTCGACGGATTTTCGCCCGCGGGTCGAGGCCCGCCGGGAGACGCCTCTCGAGGTGGAGCTCTCCTCTCCTCTCCCTTTTGTCTCCTCAGCGGAGGAAGAGGCCCAGAGGAGCTCCGGCCGGAGCGACGAGGACATTGGACAAAAGGACTAAGACGAGGGGGCAAAGAGAGCGAAAAGTAGGGAGAACGAGCGGGAAGAGCGAGCCGGACCGCGACCTCGACCTCGGAGATTGCGAAGCGCCGGCCACGAGGAGAGCCGAGCTCCTCCCGAAGGACGGCCTCGGTAACTTAGGCTAGCTTAGTTCCTTAATTTGGATTCGGCCTCGAGAGCCGAAGAGGAACCACCTCGGGGCGAGCTCGGCGACTCGGTCGTTTAACCCCTTACACACCCCGACGAGCGCACTCCGAGATCCTGAGGATCCGGATCCGCTACCAGGACTGCCGAACCGTAGTTTCCAATTTTATGAAGGAATACGAAAGAAGGAAAGAAAAAACAAAAAAAAAAACAAAAAAAATAGAAACAGTACAGTATGAGATTTCTTGTGGAAATTTTTTCATGGAAATCTTGGTCGCCCGTGTGGGTACGGAAATACGAACGTTAATTATGAAAAATTAATTTATTCTTCGAGAAGGGATGTATACGTGGCGACACCGGGGTCACCGAATCACAGAGGGTGATCCCCGGGTCCTTTCATATATTCGTTGGAACAATTGTTCCTCGTCCCTTGGTATATAAACATCGGCGTTCCTTCCATCGTACGGAGGAACTGACATGAACGATACAACATGGGGTAAGGGGTTAATCGGACTCGACTTAATGGCTGCCTTCGTCGTAAAACATGCGGAATCGCTTCGAATCCCTTCCTCCGCGGAGTGATACTCGGGATGCAAGTCCTTCCTACTCTTATTTCCGACGAGATAAGGATGCGCGTGTCTGCCTGCGTGCCTATGTATATATATAATATGTGTTTATATATATATATACTATAAAATACGAGTATTATGATTAAGGATTCGCATTCGCATTCGCATTCCTAGCGTCGTCGAGATTAAGTCGTTAATTACAATAATGGCGCGCCCTGTACACATTTAGTCGATTTTGTACAATTGATAAGCTTCGGAGTTGTCAACCCTTTCCTTGGACACCGCATCCCCTCTCTCTTATCTCCGGGCGTCGTCGGGCGGACCGAAAGATGAAGTGGCCAAAATTTGAAATAACAAAAAAAGGAAGAAAATCTCGACAAGGAGTTTCTTTTCTTTCTCGTCGTTCTTCCCTTCAACATTTAATCGAACGTTTACCGTCGAGCGTCCCGCGAGGACGTTAAATAAAACTCTCGTTCCATTTCTGGCGGAGGCTTCTTTTTTCGCCATTAATGGCAAAAAAGACTGATCCTCTTCGTTTAATTATCCGGGAAGATGTAATGGGAAAAACGTGAAAAAAAGATTAATTATATATGTATATAAAGAAAGAATTGCGACGTGCAAAGTCAAGCCGAGCTTTTCGAAGGTCGACTTTGGACGTCGCGAGTTTCAATGCCGACCCGACGACGCCTCGGGGTGGTCCGACGCTGGGCGTCGCCATCGATCGGACACCTCTTTTTCTTCGGGCGAATTCGAGGGTGTCCTCGAGGAAGTGCCCTCGACTTTCTCCAGTGTCGAACTAAGGACAACGTGGCGTTCGGAGAACCGGAAGTGTCGACAGAGAACCGCGCGGTTCCTGATCTAGGTCCGGAAATAAATAGTCGCGGACGATCGCCGCGAGATCGGAAAGGAAATAACTGCGGAAACGCGTTCTATGGAATGGATTCCAAGTCTTGTCTAATAAATACGCGCGCAATTCAAAATGACAGTCTCATTAAATAAACAGGAAAAAATGAAAATACATGAAAGGGGAAAGAAAAGAAAAAAAAAACTCGAAGAAAAATACGACGAAAGAATTTCTAAACGGTCCGTTCAAAAAGTGCCACTCTTAACGTAGCTCGCGTCACTAATTAAATTTAATCTAATTGTACTAAATTAACAACGATCCCACGTGAATGCGATACGCGCGCCTGACGTTTGGTCCACGACAGAGAAAAAAAAAATAGACAAAAAGAAATTTAATAATGAACCGACCCCAAATCGATTATTCTTCGGTTTCAACGAAACAGCCGATTGCTAGCGAACCAGCGGTTCAATAACTCAATAGTATATATATGTACAATTGCTTGCTAGAAGACAAGTGGAACATGTGATATGAAGTAATTCAACGTACGTAATTTAACATAATTTAACCTCTAATTAAAGAAACGTATAAGGGACTCGGAAGTTCGCACGACCTGTCCGTCTCATGTACAACATATATAATATATATATTTATATATGGGTCAACATTTCGCGCAATTCGTGACGAATAGAAAACCATCGGCTTCGAACGGACCTTCTAGAGAGCGCAAGTCTAGTCGACGACTACGAATCGGATCGGCGGAGAGAGAGGGAGAGAGAGGAAAAAAAAATGGGGAAGAACCTAGTGAAGTAGCGCGTTCGGCCTCTGGCAAGAGGAAAATAAATACCGTTGAGCAAACACGAATCAACAACGGCGACCTCGCGCGATGACGCCGGGTCGGCCTGACCGCGCGGGGTCGCGGGTCGGCAAAAATCCGCGCGGAAAGTGACGGAGACAAGAAATGCTGAAGAGTCGATTGGCACGACGATCGGTATTGGATTCGGAGGCGCGTCCAATAAATATACACATAACTCGAGCGTGGCGAGCCTCGAGACGCAGGAAGCGTCGTCCTTCGTCCTGGTAGCCGCGAGGCGCCAGGACCTCGGTGTCGCGTTACGCCCTGAGGTGGACGTTGTGGTTGTTGGACTTCTTCTTGTGCGTTTCCAGGTGCTTCATCATATGGTCCTTCCTGATGAATCCCTTGCCGCAATTATCACAGGCGTACGGCTTTTCGCCAGTGTGGAGGCACATGTGCCGCCTGAGGTCCGTCTTGTGGTTGAACTGTTTCGGGCAGATCTCGCACTTGTAGGGCTTGTCCCCGGCATGCTTTTGGAGGTGCTCGGCGTGCAGGTACTCGAGAGGAAACCTCTTGCCGCACTGATTGCATTTGAACGGCTTGTCGCCAGAGTGGAAGCTCTTGTTGTGTTGCGTCAAGTAGCAGGCCTTGTTGAAGACCTTGTCGCACTCGATGCACTTGTGGAAGCCGTCCTGGGAGATGTAATGCGAGCCGGTGTTGGTGCTCGTCACCTGATGTTCCTTGGTAAGAACGACCTGGGACTTTTTGTCGTCCTTAGGCGCGGCCTTCCCGGCGTTGGGATTGCGCTCCTCCTTTGCGCGGGGCAAGTTGTTGTTGGCCTCGAGCTGGTCACTCCTCGGCTGATCATTGCTTACCTCGTAGTGCTTGATGATCATGCCGTCGGTGCCCTGCATGACCTCCATACCGGCGAGGGAGTCGTACTTGGGTGGCGAACCCCTGTACGGATCGTACGTGGATCCGGGTGAGTCGAAGGATCTGTCCTGAGGAAGGTTCTCCTCGTGACTTAGCCCCCCCACGTTAACGGGCTGATTGTGCCCTACCAGGAAACCAGTGATGGCGAACTGAGTGAAGCTCGGCAGGGGCCTTTGGTGGTTGCTAAAAGTCCCGAACCCGGGCAACATGTCCTGGCTCTGCTGTAGCTGCTGCTGCTGGTGTTGGCTCTGCTGCTGGTGCTGCACCTGCTGCTGCTGCTGCTGTTGTTGCTGCTGCTGGGGGTGTTGCTGGCCAGGTAGCTCGTTACCAATAGTAGTTAGCTGGTTGGTGATAGACTCCAGCAGGCCCGGGATGCTGGTAGTAGTTATAACGTGGGGGGGCAAGGCGTTTGGGTACGGCTGATGAGGCATCGTAGAAGCCCCCATCGGCGGCGAATTCATTGGCGCCGGCATTATTGGCGATGGCGAAGTCATGTGGTGCGGGTGGGAGCCCATTGGGGAAGGTGAACTCAGGTGGACCGCCGCCGGCATGGGCGAGATGGGCGAATTCATGGGGTGGTGGGGCCCCATTTGGGAGGGCGAACCCATTGGTAGGTGGTGTCCCAGCTGAGGCGATGGCGAACCCATTTGGTGGTGGCCCATTGGCGACTGGACCGGGGAATTGAGGGACACCATGCTGGACCCCAAGTGGATCGCCGAAGCCGTTTGCTGCTGCTGCTGCTGCTGCTGCTGCTGCTGGGCTAGGGTTCCCGAAGACTCGCTGCTGCTGCTGCTGGAATTGCTGTTGGCGTAAAGGGTGGGCGTGTGCAGCAGGCCCCTCGCCGCCTCGCCCGAGGGACCTGCCATCAAGTTTGGGGGACTCCCCGACGATGATAACTCCGGTGACCTCACCGGCGGCGCCCTGCTTCCGGAGCTCGAGACGGCGTCCCGTCCCGGGTGGTGGTGGGCACTGATCGGCAAATTCGCAGGGTCCGGTTGATTGCTCTGTTTCACTGCGTTCTTGTGCAACGTCGTGTTATAGTGCCTTTTCAGATGGCCCGAGCTGGTGAACCACTTGTTGCATGCGGTACAGTTGTAGGTCTTTGGTCTTCGCGCCTCGTTGCTCTTCCACGACTGGTTAGCCAGAGGGGGCGGTTTCGGGGGCTGTTGCAGCAATCCCCCGGGAATCTGATGACTCGGCATCTGCTGGGTGCTGCTAATTATCGGCGAGCCCGGATGCCTGGGCGGCTCCACGGGGATGTGCTGCGACCTCAGGAACTGGCCCTGATCGGGAATCGGAGATACATTCTCCATGGGTCCCATGGGTGAGAGACCGGGATGGTACTCGTGAGGCTGCGCCGATGGCCACCCTAGCATAGCACTCACCGAGTGGGGTCCCCCGCGTTGCTGATGCTGCTGCATCGCCTGTTGCTGCTGCTGCTGATGCAGCTGCATTTGCATCTCCTGCTGCTGTTGATGCAGTCTCATCAACTCCTCCTCATACCTGTGCGTCTGCAACTTGTGCGAGTCCAGGTCGAGGATCTCCGCCTGTTCTTCCGGTTCCTGTTTCACCTCCGACTTGACCACCTGCGACCCATTGTAGTCATAGCCGGTTTGCTGCTGCTGCTGCTGCTGCTGTTGCGACGACGCTTGCTGCTGCTGTTGCTGCGTCTGCGTCTGCTGCTGCTGCTGCTGCTGCTGCTGCCCAGGGTGAGGTGGCGAAGAATGCATTTGCGACTGTTGCTGCGCCTGTTGTTGCTGCTGACCCTGCTGAGGCGGACTGGTTCCGATTTGCCGATACGACCCCTGACCCGAGTAGGACCCCGGCGAGGAAGGATGGCTCGTCCGGACGTGCTCCGTCAGCTGATTGGCGTCGTCGTACACCGCGCCGCACTTGTCGCACTGTAGCGGACTCCTGGGGCTGGTCGAGCTGACCGAGTTAGCCCGTTCGGGCGGATAATGCCGCTGGTGTTGGTACGGGTGATACCTCGTATAATTGCCGTTCTGACTCTCCTCCCTGGGAGGGGAGTACGCGTGCGGCAGGATATAGGGTGGCTCGTTTTGCATGAAGTATCCGCTCTCGCTGAACATCGGAGCTTGAAAGTGGTTATATCCCTGTTGAGACGATTGCTGCCCCGAAATGGGCTGCTGCTGCTGCTGCTGCTGTTGCACGGAAGTCGGTCCAGGAGGTCCTTCCGAGGGCGGTCTAGAGGACGGCTCGCTCGAGTCCGCCGGCGCCGTGACGCTGTCCCGTTTGACCGGCCCCACGTGGCTGTTGTGGTTGCCGGCCTTGCTGTTGTTGTTGTTGCTCTCCTCCTGTTGCGCCTGAGTGGCCCACTGGCTGAGCAGGTTCTCCTGGTGGTACCTGAGGTGGACCTCGAGGCTCTTGTCGCTCTCGAAGTAGAGCCCGCAGTCCTTGCAGTGATGCTTGGGCGACGCGGCGCCGCCTCCGCCGCCACCCCCACCGGTCACCACGTATTGCTGCTGCTCGACGCTAGTCATATCACTCATTATCGTCTCTCTAGGCGAGCGCGCGCGCTCTCACCTCCCGCTGCGTCTTCCCGGGCACATCCGCGCGACCTCGGCGTGCCAGCGACGCGCGAACCGGCCGAGACCCGAGATCGGAAAGAGGGCACCGCCGAAGAAAGACCGGCGCGACGGTCTCCGAGAGGGCCGAACGGAAAAAGGGGGAAAAACTAAAACCATAAAGCGGGTTCTACATTTATCATATGATCGGCGACATGGCCTCGCGGGAGCCCGCTCGATCGGTCGGCAAGCCCGAGCGAGTCCCTGCGGGGTACATCTCTAACGGGACACCGCGACAACCCCCAGACCGGCGACCGACTCGCGACTCGCACTCCCCGGACCTCGCGACCGCCACCTCACATGGCAGCCACCCTCCGCCCCTCCGCGCCACTGTCCGCGCCGCTTAAGGTCCCACTGGCCGCGGTCACTCTCCACAACACCCTGGCCGCATCTCCCTCTCCCTCCGAGTCCTCTCCTCTCCGGGCCGCCCCGTCACACTCCCCCGATGTCCATCCTCGGCCTCTCGCGTATCGGCGCCAACCTGCTCACCGCGAGGGCTCGTCCGCACTGACCTCGTCCCGCGCGATCGCGCCTTAAGGTCCGTATCCTCTCCTCTCTCTCTCGCTCTCTCCCCCGCCGCGAGACAGCCGTCGCCGCGCTCGTCGACGCACCACCGAAAACCGACCACTGGCGGGCCCTCCCACTGTCTGTCTTTGTCTCTCTCTCTCACTCTCGCTCTTTCTCTCTCTCTCTCTCTCCCTCGCTCCTCTCGCACCGGAGATCCGCGTCGCACGAGAGCCGGCACTATTCTGCCGGTTGGAATTCCGGAGTTTCGAGTCCTCGAGCTCGCGCCAAGGCGCTGCCGGTCCCCTCTCCCCTCCCCGCCGGCCCGCGCGCCCCTCCCGCCCCTCCCGCGCGCGCAGACGCCCTCCTCTCCCCGCCCCACCCCTCCCGAGCGACGACAACCTTCCAGCGAACCGCCCCGCTCCTCCCTCTCCTCCGCCTGACCCCCCGCCCCTCCCCCGCCGCAGCTCGCGGACCCCCTGCCCAGACAACCAACCAAATTTGAGACGTTCCAACCTATACCTTCTTCCACCTCACCCCCGCGCCAAGAGGGGCGCGCCGAAGAGAGCCGAGCCGAGCCGAACTTGCACGAGGCGCGCGAAGGACGAGCGTCCTTAGGGACGAGAGTCTCCCCTGCGACGAGTGGGAGCGACGGAGACGGATCTATCGGAATCGCGGCGGGTGCGAGAAAGAGGTCCTGGGATTCCGACACGAGATGCGGAGGATCCTGCGGGATTGCCGCGTGTCTGGTGAAATGATTCGATGATAGTGGGATCGGGGTTAGTGGTCGTCGGTAGACGGGAGGGAAGCAGGGCGGGCGCTGTATCGCAGATCGACAAGTTTCTATTGGAAATTGTTCGATTCTTCTTATAATTTGATTTTTTTTCTTCTTTTTCGTTTATCTTTTTTCTTTTTCTTCTTTTCTCGCGATGCGAGATTCCCGCGGTGTGGGTCGTGCGTGATGTAGGGGTTATCGCGTGGGAGGAGTATTTCGTCTTGGCAGGAACTTTAATATTTGGATGTGATTTAAAACGAGCAATAATTTGCCGAGGATGGCACAGAATGCATAAGTAATTAATTAAGCCCAACTCTGATTTGTGACGTACCGAGGAAACGGGGTGTACAGTCGCATGCAAAAGTTACGGGAACATGAGATTTTTTTAGATGAATGTGAATCCGATTTCTCTATATTTTTATAATATTCTGAAAGCGTATCTAATATTATTCACTCATTGTCTCTTCATTTATGTCGCCTTATTTGGAGGTTATAATACAAATAAGGCTTGGGAGAAATTACGGAGTCAGTATTATCTTGTTTTCGTTTTTCTCGTTAATTTTCTAGATTGGGCGAAAATGGACTCTTATAAGTGTTGTTATTTTAATTCTATATGTCAGAGATTAGTTTAAAAATGACTAGATCTGGGAGAACAATATCGACGCGAAGATTGTACCTACTCCACCTTAAGAAACGATGCTTCCTCCCGCGCGCCACCTTGCTCAGCCGCGTCGATTTGAGCGTGAGAGCGAGAGAGGCGGCGCTTACGGAGCAACCACGAGGGCGAGAGAGAGGGGGATGGCGCTACGCCTCGGCGAAGACGCGAGAAAGGTAGCGCGCAACGCGCGAGAATTCCGGCGCATCGTTCAGGAATTCTGTGGGTGATTTCGTCCTGCGTTACCCCGACGAAAATCCTGCATATTCGTCGGTGCATTCAAACCCCGTTCAAGGACACTGGTTTGCAAATGAAAATTGCACTTACTCTCCTTTCTCCGGACGATTCCTCGCCTCGAATGGAAATTTAAAAAAGAAAATCCCCCACAGCTCGATAGTCTTCCTACTATTAAAATCTCGTTAAAAATACGTAGTTTCGTCAAAATAAAAGATTCTCTCACGTCGACGATCGTTCTCTTGATATTTGCCGTCCTTCCCTTCGGTACTTCGTAATTTCGGATTTGTAGGAACGCCGTGGTATAGGTGATAGATTTGAAAAGCGTCTCCCTGTTTAGACTTCAAATAAGTATTTAGCAAGATTGCAGTTTATTAGCCTCTTGGGCGCTTCCTTTATGACCCGGCAAATAAACGCGCAATTCCCACGAGATAATCGCGAATCTACGGGTTGTCCATCCGACGATAATCTCCCAGGGATCGAGGAGGCGGCCGAGGCTCTTTCTAACCTCAAAATCCTCGCGCGGCCACTTCCCCCCATGTGGCCTTAACCCGACGTCGGATGGCGGGTTAAAAAATCTGGGTAGCCTTGCATTTTTTTCTGCTACCTTTTTCCCCGCGGGAGGAACGGCCGGAGGCGCACTTTGCACGTACCGGATGCGTCATGCCCCATGAATATGTTTATTGTATTGCACTATAGCCACCTAATAAAAACCACCTCGTGTGCGGTCATGCTTTGTCACGTGGCGACTGATCCAATAAAATCGCGACTCCGCGGCCGGGAGAAACTGGAGCCATCTCGCGGACGAAGCCACGACCGTGCGTGGGAAGATACTTATGATTCTCGGCAGATATTATTTTTTTTTTATACATTTTTAACAGGACATTACATTTGCATTAAACCTATTCCCCTTTAATGTGACATTCGGTATTCAAATATAAATACGTGAAAAATGTATACCAGTTTTAGAAGCCTATGAGCGGATGATAAATATTGCTGGCTTTATCGGCGCTGAAGATTGAAGATTAACAGGTAAAAAAATGGAAATGATATTCAGGAATCTGAATGTGAAAAATAAATTTAACACACTCTTTCAATGTAGTCGCATTGAAAATTCGAAGGAAAAATTAGGTATAAAATTCGGGAATATGAGTGGATATCAGACAGATGGTGGACACTCGTTTAAATATATTTTAAATATATTTTTATTTGGTTTTACAATTTTATAATATAAATTACTTAATATAAAATAGAGAAATCCGAGACTGGATATTGGACATCAGATGGTACACTGAGAAAAAAGTTTCGTTCATTCAAAGAACATGATTTAAATCGAATGACAAGATTTTGGTAGAAAAAAAAAGTGTAATTACCCCAAAGAATTTTTCGTCTTCCATTCAAAGAAACGTTTATATTCTGCAAACATTTTTAAAACCGTAACGTGTTTAGTTGCAGCAAAGAACGGTGGATTGATTTCTTAGCTCGGAAAACATATTTCGTGTCATTTGACTCAGAAAAAAAAGAATTGTTTAAATCTAACTGATTGAAAGAATTTTTATCTCTCTCTCTCTCTCTCTCTCAATGAAATCATCCCTTGGAGCCAAACAAATGAAAGACTTAATTTTTGTAAGGTGTGAAGTATTCGAAAATTTCTTTTCAGTGCGAACCCTTTTATGTGAAATTCGCTGGTAAATATTTTATATTTGGTATTTACAGTTTGATGTCGTCGCTTTAGATCAGCTTAATACACGTTTATATGGGCGTTTAATTAAAAAAGGAAAACACGCATAATTCCCGCGGGCAATGTGCAGGATTAACCTGGGCATCGGCACGTATGCGCCCGAACGAGGAAGCGCATCTCAAGGTCGCAAGAACGGACCCTAATTTGAGAGCGGGACAAGTGTTCCGTCGGACAAAAGACTGTAAATCAAGGCCACGCTTCTTTCTCCTTTTTTACCGAGTTCTCACCCCGGCCTTGTGGATTTTACCCCACGTGGCGTCCGACCACCCCACCGCCCGGGCGCACGAAGATGATCCGGAGATGAGAGGCTAATAAGATAATTTCGATTAAACGCTCTCTAAATGACTAGCACATTATCGTCCATTTGCACGAAAAACATACGAATTGAATAACAATCTTTGAATGGCACACATCTGTAATATCCCGATATTCTGAATGAGTACATTGAGGAGAATGCCAAAGATATATTTCGTTAATTCGAGAAATTTCCCTCAAATAAACCTGAAATAAATTGCCGTAATCCCGGATAAATGTCGTATTCCGATTTATTCAAGTTCACGCGAGTCAAATAATAATTTACTGAATTAACAAAATATTTCTCTGGGCCAATGAAATTTTCCTTCCTCGGTGTATAACTTATAAGTTAAGTAATGCGAATTTAAATTACCTTATATTAAGCCTGAAAGGACGTAAAATTTGTGTGGGTTTATTCTACACGTTAGAGAGATCCTGATCCAGTACTCGGAGAAACGTTCGAATTGGGTAAATACCGAGTACATCGACCCGTACTAAACTCGTGCGTTGCCGAAAGTAAGGTAAATATAACCGAAATGACGACTTTGCGCATGTCATGAGCAACGTTGTCTGATTGTGGCCTGTCCGACGAGAAAAAGATATGCAAATAAAGGGATAAAAGTAAAAGAGCATTTCTACTTGAATATCGCGCAGTCGGGTGCAACGTCCACAGTTAACGAAATATAACTTAGAAAATTGACAAAGTAGTAATTGTAAAAAGTGAATAAAGCCTCGTGACAGAAAAATGACCTCTTTAATTCGACGTCAATTTGAGGAATATTGTCGGGAATTGAAAATTTCGTAATTCGGGGCGAAGGCCACGTCACACGGAAAAGAAGTCAAAGGGGCGAAGAAAGGGTCGATTGATATTGTTTGGCCTCAGTTTTGACTCCGTAAAGTTTCGGGGTTGCGTCCCAGAGGTGATTTCCCTCGAACCGGGCTGTTTCGCGAGCCTAGGGGAAACCCCCTAGGCCGGCGCGCTCCCGCGAGACTCCTCCGGGAAGGACCGAGTTATCGCGAGCCGCGTATCGATCGTAAGGGCTACTTTCCCTCGCTCGATATTTCCTCGGACAATGATTTCCATACTAACGTTATCGCAGCCCTATCCACGGGCTTACACGTCGGATTTGGATAACGCCAAGTTGGCACACCGAGCGTCGGCACTCTCCGACTAGAATCTAAA